GATGGCGATGATGATGCTGATTAGGATAATGATGAGGATGATGCTGATGATGATGATGATGATGATGATGATGATGATGCGGCTGACGATGCTGCTGACGATGCTGCTGATTAGGATAATGCTGATGAGGATGAGGATGGTGCTGCTGCCGATGATGATGATGATGCTGATGATGATGATGATGATGATGATGGTGATGATGACGCTGATGATGGTGATTCTGATGATGGTGATGATGATGCTGATGACGATGATGACGATGTCGATGACGCTGATGATGATGCTGATGATGATGATTATGATCATGCGGATGCTGATAATGTTGATGATGATGATGACGATGAACATGATGAGGACGCTGATGCTGCTCATGATGATAAGGCTTCTGAGGCTGATGATTGTTGTGGTGGTGGTAGCGGTGATGATGAAACTGGTACTGACTATGATGATGACGATGACGATGATGATGCTGATGATGATGATGATGATGATGATGATGATGATGATGATGGCGAGGATGACAATGACGATGACTAGGGTATCAGTGATACTTGAGACTATTATGACGCTTATGATGACGATGATTATGATGTTGGTGATGACGATACTGATGATGCTGGCAATGCCGATGACGATGACGAGGATGGTGGTGCTCATGCTGATGGTGCTGACGATGATGATGGTGCTGCTTGTGATGATGACGATGCCGATGATGATGACGATGCCGATGGTGATGCTGATGACGATGATGCTGATGCCGATGAGGATGCTGGTGATGACGTTGCTGCTGATGATGATGCTTATGATGCTGATCATGCTGAAGATGAAGATGATGCTGATGATGATGATGATGCTGATGATGATGATGATGATGATCATGCTGAAACCGATGTCGATGCTGATGATTACCATGCTGATGATGATGCTGATGATGATACAGCTGGTGATGTTGATGATGATGATGACGATGCTGATACTGATGATGATGATGATGATGATGATGATGCTGCTACTGATGTTGCTGATGATGCTGATAACGATGCTGAGTATTTTGATGATGATGTCGAGGATGCTAATACTGATGCTGATGCTGATGATGCTGGTGACGATGATGATAATGATGATAATGATGATGATGATGGTGATGAGGATGATGACGATGATGATGATGATGATGATGATGATGATGATGATGATGATGATGATGATGATGATGATGATGATGATGATGACGATGATGATGATGATCATGATGATGATGATGATGATGATGATGATGATGATGATGATGATGATGATGATGATGATGGTGGTGGTGGTGGTGGTGGTGATGCTGATGATGATGCTGATGATGAGGATGATGATGATAATGATGATGATGATGCTGCTGCTGATGCTGCTGATGCTGCTGCTGCTGATGATGATGATGATGATGATGATGATGATGAGTATGGTGGTGATGATAATAATGATAATGCTGATGCTGCTGCTGATGCTGATGATGATGATGATGATGATGATGAGGAGTAGGACGAGGATGAGGACGACGACGAGAAGGACCAGGAGGAGGAGGATAAGGAGGAGGAGCAAGAGGAGGAGGAGGAGCAGGAGGAGGAGGAGGAGGAGGAGGAGGAGGAGCAGTTGGAGAAGGAGGAGGAGGAGCAGTTGGAGAAGGAGGAGGAGGAGGAGGAGGAGGAGGAGGAGGAGGAGGGAGGAGGGAGGAGGGGGCTGAGAGAGGAGGAGGAGGAGAAGGTTGAGGAGGATGTGGAAACTAAACCCAAGAGTTAGCAACGTGTCGGGATGACCCCCCCTCCAAGCTCCCTCTTCATAGGCCCCTGCAACGGTTCATTTCCACAGGGAACTGCTTCGTTGGAAGACAACCGTTTGAAGACCCTGAAGCATGCCGAAACATGGTTGTCGGGATTCCAACGCCACGGATCAACCTGACTGTTGCGTCTTGACGATTTTGAATCTTGCCAGAACACTGCTCCTGGACTTCAACACCGCGAACCAACGTAACTGTTGCACCCTCATTACCCCAGTGCGACCCTACCTAGAAGTTGGAGCCCCTAGGACAGCAGCATTAGTTGCTATGCTATGCTATGCTATGCTATGCCATGCTATGCTGCGCTATGCTATGCTATGCTGTGCTATGCTATGCTGCGCTATGCTATGCTATGCTATGCCATGCTAAGCTATGCTATGTCATGCTGCGCTGTGCTATGCTAAGCTATGCTATGCTATGCTATGCTATGCTCGGCTGCGCTATGCTATGCGACGTTATGCAATGCTATGCTATGCTATGCTATGCTAGGCTATGCTATGCTATGCGTGGCTATGTTATGCCATGCTATGCTATGCTAATGCTGCGCTATGCTAAGCTAGGCTAAGCTAAGCTTACCCTCTAGGCAGAGCCTAGGTAGGTAATTACACCCATGCTAACATGCTATGCTGCGCTGTGCTGTGCTACGCTCTGCTATGCTATGCTGTGCTCTGCTATGCTAAAGCTCGGCGAAGCTAATCTGAAGGTAAGC